GAATGCCCGCCACAGTCCCACTATAAGTCGCTAGTCGGCGCCATTACTAGAATATATAAAAAAAAAAAAAAAAATCCCAGAATATATACCGCCATTTGAAGATGCTATAACTTTCACTTTCAATTCATTTACACGTATTTGGATTTTTTTAAGCAAAGACATGGAGTAGAATACATTTTGGTCTAAATTTATGATGAAATTTGATTTTTTTTTTTACTGGATGTTTTATAGCAAAAAATAAAAAATATTGTTTTTTTTTTCCAAAATTGTCGGTCTTTTTTTTGTTTATAGTGCAAAAAACAAAAAAAAAAAAAAAAAAAAAAACGCAGAGGTGATCAAATACCACCGAAAAAAAGCTCTATTTGTGGGGGAAAAAAAAAAAAGGACATACATTTTATTTGGGTGCAGAGCTGCATGACCGCGCCATTGTCAGTTAACGCAACGCAGCGCCATATTGCAAAAAAATGGCATGGTCAGAAAGGGGGGGGGGGGGGGGGGGTAAATCCTTTGGAGGGCAAGTGGTTAAGGATGCGCTTTGGGAAAAAAAAAAAGGAAAAAAAACTTAAATATGTTTATTTGTCATTTTTCAAACAGATTTACAGTTTCAGAAAAAGAAAGAAATGTACATCTTTGTTCTTTGAGTGACCTCGCAAGTTTACGTATTACAATGAATCATCAAATTTCATGGATTTATTTAAACGCAATGCAGATGATGCATAAAAACCGAATGCATGCATATAATAAATATCAATCACACGATTAAGACAAAAGAAAATTCTTCCTGGTAGCTGGAAGGACATTGCAAGAGTTATACAATAAATGTCATGATATAATGATAAGCATACATCACCTTGCTTTAGAAACATATCACAGGAGGTTACAGAGCCATGGCAACCAATCAGAAGTACAACGGACAAAGACTAAAAGGAAAAAGTTATTGTTTGATTGCTTGCTATAGTCTTTTACAAATCATCACTGTTTCTGGGACTTTTGCCATTGGTGGCTTTCTGTTGAAAATGTCCCAACTCCTTATTGGTATGCTTGCAGTTCTGTGATTTACGAAGTATATACACCACTGGGCAGCATAACAGCCAGGCAAACAGGATTTTCAGAAGGGGATCAGCAATAGCAGCTAACAGGGTCCTCTTAGTACAGGATTTCTTAAAGGATAAGTTCACCTTTGTAACATATTTAGGATGCAACCTGTTACAGTACAGCACCTGCCCATGCTCTGTGTGACAGCAGATGGGGGGACCTACTCCTGCTGTCACAATTCAAGCATAGTGTGGCTCCCCCCCCCCCCCCCCCCAACTGTATCATTCATTCACAATTTCCTGTGAATGAACTACAAGTACCATCTGCAACCGTGGTAGACAGCTTGTAGTTTTCAATGAACGGATATACTGCTGCAGGAAGGCCACTCCAGGCTGTATCATGTATCAAATACGTGATCCAGCTCTTCCGGGTAGGGGGCTTGTGCGCACGTTGGCCGTTCTGTGATTTGCTACAGCACAGGCCAATCAGCGGGTCTCGGTCAATAATTCAAGGCTGGAACATGCCGATCAGATGACAGGAGAGAGCTCTGTCATTGTACATATCACAAAGCTCTGTCCTGACAGCGTCAATGTGCCGTTTTTTGTTTCCCTGCAAATCGGAATAAAAACTGGCACATCTCTTAGTAAAATAAGCTCACAGTAAACACTTTACACTTGTTAGGCACACAGTTAACCCTTTGATTGCCCCTAGACGTTAACCGCTTCCCAGCCAGTGTCATTAGTAGTGTCGGTGTATATTATTAGCACGTACCACTGTATTAGTGACCACTGGAGATGTCAGTGTCATTGAGTCAGTTCCCACACAGCATCAGATAGTACAAAATAAAATAATAATTCATTATTATATATATATATATATATATATATATATATATATATATATATATTGTAGATGCTATAACTTTCACAAAAAACAATTAATTTACGCTTATTTGGATTTTCTACCAAAAAATATGTAGCAGAACACCTAAATTTATGAAGAACTTTGATTTTTACATTTTTTTTATTGGATATGTTTTATAGTAGAAAGTAAAAAATATTTTTTCCTTTTTCAAAATTTGCAGTCTTTTATAATAAAAAAAACAGTGGTGATCAAATACCACCAAAAGAAAGCTCTATTTGTGTGAAAAAAAGGATATAACATTTAATTTGGGTACAGTGTTGCATGACCGCGCAATTGGCAGGTAAAGTAGCGCAGTGCATTCCTTTTTTGAATAGCAAAAAATGGCCTGTATATATACCTACGTATTCTGAGGGTGATTTAGTCCGGTCACGTAATCACCCCAGCAGCCGGCTTCAGGAGAGATCAATGACAATGGCTGCAATGCTTTGGGCGTTGACATCACCCATTGGGCATCCCTTGTCAGCTGTCCCTCATATCCCTTGAGGCGGAGTTCACATTGGAACGCAGAGCTGCTGCAGTACTTTACTGTTCCAGCAGCTGTCTGTTCCCGGCTGCAGTAGGGGGCAGTGTGGTGCATTCAGTGCATCACATGTCCCCCCCCCACCTTTATTTTTATTGTATACTTCAAACTTTATTTGAAGTATACAAAATGTACACTTCATCAATGGCACTGTACAGCAGCGTCGTGCGCTGCACTGCCATACAGTGCCATGTGATTCTGTACAGCGCGCTGCAATAAAAATGCAGCATTGCTGCATTTTAGCGCAGCCCTAGGCTGTGTCAGTGTGATTGAGACACATAGGAAATGTGAGTCCTTGTGGTGACAGACATTTTACTACGCATTAATACATCTTTCACCGAAACTGTTTGAATCAGCCCTTACTGGTGAGAGTAGAAAATGAAACCCCCGCTGGGAGCCAATCACGAGACTGGATCTGAGAGTTCTGAGAAAAGGCAAGTAAAGGTGTACCTTGGTTTACGAACGCCTCGGTTAACGTAATTTTTGGTTTAGAATGAAAATCCATTGAAAACAATGTCTCGGTTTACACATTTTTTTCTCAATACGAAGGTGTATGTTGGTGCTGATTTTGAAATGCACTTGCTGGCTTTTTTTTCTTCTTCACTATAGCTCAAAGAATTAGCTGTCACTTTCCCCAGAGCTAAAGGAAACGTTGTTTCTTTTAATAAACTAAAAGGAAACATTGTTTCTTTTAACTTGGGGACATAAACTAAAAGGAAATTTTCTTTTAGCTGGAGGGGAAAGTGACAGCTAAATCTCTGACCTATAGTGAAGAAAAAAAAAAGCCAGGAATTACATTGAAAAACCGGCACTGACCTATAGTGACAGCGACTTTTTTTTCCTTTTTCTGACCTCCGAAATGGATTAATTGGTTTTCAATGCATTCCTACGGGAAACCGTGTTTCGGTTAACAAATTTTCCCCGGAGAATGCATTAAATTCGTAAACCGACGTACACCTGTATAAGCATCTTTCTTTCATGGGGTAGTTATGCGATTTAGAAGGGGGAGCAGGTTTAGGCATAATTTGCAATAGCCTGGAATTCCACTTTCGGCCTGTCCAAGCAATCTTGTTATTGTTTTTAACATCATACAATAAATAAGCGGTCTTTTTTAATTCAGGGAAAAATAAGGAGAACTATAAAAAAAAAAAAAAAGAGAAGAGGAAGAAGAAGAAGAGAGGAGGAGGAGGAGGAGGAAGAAGAGGAGGAGGAGGAGGAAGAAGAGGAGGAGGAGGAGGAAGAAGAGGAGGAGGAGGAGGAGGAAGAAGAGGAGGAGGAGGAGGAGGAAGAGGAAGAGAGGAGGAGGAGGAGGAGGAGGAGGAGGAAGAAGAGGAAGAAGAAGAAGAAGAGGAGAAGAAGAAGAGGAAGAAGAAGAGAAGAAGAAGAAGAGGAAGAAGAAGAGGAAGAAGAAGAGGAAGAGGAAGAAGAAGAAGAGAAGAAGAGGAGGAAGAGGAGGAAGAGGAGGAAGAAGAGGAAGAAGAGGAAGAAGAGGAAGAAGAAGAAGAAAGAGGAAGAAGAAGAAGAAGAAGAAGAAGAAGAGGAAGAAGAGAAGAAGAAAGAAGAAGAAGAAGAAAGAAGTTAATTCAAGCACAAAACCTAAAACCCTAATAAATATTTACAAAATCCTCATCATATTTAGCAGTACGTAATCACTACTTCCACTTCACCTGGTCACGGGCATATACAATAACTCACAAACTTAAGCGCTTTGAGGTCACAGGCAGACATAGTGTAATTAAAGGAAAACTCCATGCAAGCAAAAAAACTAACATTAGCTCATGACAAAAGCCATGAAATAATTTTTCAATACTGTCAAATTTAATACCCAAAATCCTAATACCGCTTGCCAGATGGAAAAAAAGAAAAAAGAAAAAGAGGCTTGTAGTTGAAGCTGATGGGAAGGAGATGCTTAGGTGGGCTTTGGAGAGTAAGAGAGGTCACAGTTGTGACCACCAATGTGAGATGTTCTCTAATGGCCCAAAGAGCAGGCAGGGGGACGAGCATGGGCATTGAAACTCTCAAAAGTGTTCTCATCCTCTTTGCATAATTGCCATAAACCAACCGCACAGATCACAAGAGCATATGCATCACTCTGCAAATCTTTTGGCTACAAAAACAGTTCCTATATATGTATTCCAACTGCGCATTTGCCTGCTTGACTCACTTTGCCCTTTAAAAATCGATGAATATTTCATTATATCCTGATATGCGCCCACATTAAAATGTATTTTTAACTCGCGTATTATAAGTGGCTTGGAGGAAAGGCTCTCTCCTTCCATTAAATACAGAAGTCAGTGTAAAAAGGCTGGCTTGCTATCGCCCAATACAGGAAATGGGATTTTGGCAGGATGCCCTCCTGAAGCGATCTGTCCAATATGTTTGATAGCCTAGGCTGCAGCGAGCACTCAGCTGCCGGTAACCATAACGAAGGGGGAGATGTAAGAAGAAGATGCTCGGAAAAGAGGAATTAAAGAACGCAGACAATTCTGCAGGATATGGTGGATCCGAGGATAGCCATCCATCATGACTGGTTGTCTCTGTTTAGTGCTTCCAGCCTCCGCAGCAGGGCGTTGCCAAAGGCCTCGCGATATGCAGGGCTAAGGGAATCCAGCAAGGAGTAAATGGTTTCATGGTACTGGCTGCGACATCCTGGGTCAACCTGGTCAAATGCAAATCCAACCACCTGTTTGGTGTGAAAACAGAAAAAAAAAAAAAATAATAAAACTGTGTGAAACATAGTTTTAAAGCACACAGGTGACCACATGCATAAAAATATATATTTTTTTCCCCCCCAAAGTTTTTCACTTACTTTAAGACTACCCTTTAACTGCAGAACAAACATTGTTGTCCCCTTGATAAAACTGAAGGATCAACAGGTAATAAAAACAGTTACATGGAAGAACAGCAAAAACTCCGGCCTTACGTCTTACAGTTGTACTGCACAGTGTCAGCATCTCACAGTGTGCATTAGAACCTGCAGCAAGTTAGATAGCGTGTGCCTAGTTTCCTGGGTGGAGGACGTCCAGCCAAATCTAGCTCTTTACTATCTCTGGCCCACCACTTTCATGACTTAGAATTCCATTCTTTCAATTATGGAGGCTCAGCATCACATATGACTATTACCTAGGGCGATCTGCATGCAGATTTAGCCTACCTAGGAACGTCCATTCCTCCAGACCAGGGGTCTCCAAACTTACTAAACAAAGGGCCAAATTACGGTCCTTCAAACTTTAAGAGGGCCGGACTGTTGCCAGTGGGAGAAGAAAATGTCCTGGCGTCAGTGGGAGCAAACAATGGCCCATCATTAATATTAGAGGGAGTAATAGTGCCCCATTGTTGGTGTTAACATGAGGAATAGAGCTCCATCATTGGTGTCAGCGGAAGGAATAGTGCCCTATAAATGGTGTCAGTCAGAGGCTTTGTTGGTGTCAATGGGAGGAATAGTGTCCCATCATTGGTGTCAATAGCAGAAAATATACTCTCATCATTGGTGCCAGTGGGAGGAATAGTGCCTCATCATTGGTATTAATGGGATGACTAGTGCCCCATTATTGGTGTCAATGGGATGACTAGTGCCCCATTATTGGTGTCAATGGGATGACTAGTGCCCCATTATTGGTGTCAATGGGATGACTAGTGCCCCATTATTGGTGTCAATGGGATGACTAGTGCCCCATTATTGGTGTCAATGGGATGACTAGTGCCCCATCGTTGGTGTCAATATGACTAGTGCCCCATCGTTGGTGTCAATGGGATGACCCCCATCGTTGGGGTCAATGGGTGGCATCGTTGGTGTCAAACAGTGCCCCACCGTTGGGGTCAGTGGCACAAACAGTGCCCCACCGTTGGGGTCAGTGGCACAAACAGTGCCCCACCGTTGGGGTCAGTGGCACAAACAGTGCCCCACCGTTGGGGTCAGTGGCACAAACAGTGCCCCACCGTTGGGGTCAGTGGCACAAACAGTGGCCCCACTGTTGGGGAGTGGCACAAACAGTGGGGTCAGTGGCAAACTGTGCCCCATTTCTGCTGAAATTGGGGGGGAATAATGCCCTAAGGGCTGGATAACAGCAAGTAAAGGGCTGCATCTGGCCCTTGGGGCCGCAGTTTGGAGACCACTGCTTCAGACTGACACCCATTCATTAAAGCTGAAGTTTAGGTATGGTTCTTTTTGCATAGCTACATGGGTCCACCTTGGACCAATGTTAAATATATAAATGTGCCATACCTGTGGGATCCCTGGGGAAACTGAAAAATTACTGTAGCAGCCACTGTTACTACAGCAATCGCCGCTAGTTTCCGGGACACATGCTGCTTAGTCGGCACAGGTGACAAACAAAGAACATTTTCCCAGAATCATGATACCACTACCCTCCCCCCCTCCTCCTAACCCGAATTATGCTTTGCATTCATTGAGAAAATGCAAAGCATTCTTCAAATGGGACCCAGATATATATATACATATATATAATTATTCTTATACAGTATTTATATAGCGCCAAAGGGTATGCTCAGCGCTGTACAGTAGCAAGGGGGACATAACATGAGACAAGACAGTAACAATACACTACACGAGGGGTTCGAGGGCCCTGCTCTTTCGGGCTTACAATCTAGGAGGGAGGGGAAGGTGATACAGGAGGAGATGGCTGTGGGGGATGGAGTGGTGGGAGGAGTGGAGGAGGTTAGTTGTTAGGTGAGGTGGGGGTGTTAGGTGAGGTTGGGGTAGGCTTCCCTGAAGAGGAGGGTTTTCAGGGTGCGCCTGAAGGTGAGGAGGGTAGGTGACAGTCTGATGGATTGGGGCAGGGAGTTCCAGAGGATGGGGGAAGTCCTGGAGAAGTCCTGCAATCGGGCGTGGAAGGAGAAGACCAGGGAGCTAGAGAGTAGGAGGTCCTGTGAGGAGCGGAGGGCACGGGATAGGGTACTATTTGGGTATCAGGTCAGTTATGTAGTTTGGGGCAGCGTTGTGAATGGCTTTGTAGGTCAGAGTTAGCAGTTTGAATTTGATGCGTTGGGCAATCGGGAGCCAATGAAGGGATTGGCAGAGGGGGGAGGCAGATGTGGAGCGGTTGGTGAGGTGGATGAGTCCAGCCGCTGAGTTTATGATAGACTGGAGTGGGGATAGCGCTCGTTTGGGTAGGCCAGTGAGAAGGGAGTTGCAGTAGTCCAGGCATGAGATGATGAGGGAGTGTACGAGTTGTTTGGTGGTGTCTGGGGTGAGGAATGTGCGTATGTGCGCATATATATATATATATATATATATATATATATATATATATATATATATATATCTCATACATACATACAAACTTATGGATCCAAGCTGGACCAATTTAACTATGAATAATATACAGGGGTAGTACAAAAATATGGAAACACTACATGATTTGCAGGTGTTAAAGTGACATGTTTCACCACTAATGACCGATATTCATGCTCAGAAGAGGAGAGAGTGGTGCAACACCCATAAATTATGGACTATTAATCAATGAGAGACTGTAATATGGTCCTGTGAATCGAACTTTACACTGTTCCCAACCACTGGATGGGTTTACGTGCAGCGAACACCATCCCAAGCGTACAGTCAGGACTGTCTTGTGCCAACAGTAAAGCATGGTGGCGGCGCAGTCATGGTCTGGGAAGCCATATCTTGGTATTTTTCAGGCCACATCATCACCTTGAAAGGCCAGCGACTACAGAAAACAATCACCCCCCTTTAAAATAATCACATTTTGTTGCTTTGCAGCCTGAAATGAAGACAGACACAGTTTTGTTTTATCCAGTTGTATAGGTGCAACTTATAACATCCAAGTAAAAGATATAACACCATGACAAAAAAAAAAAAAATATTCAAAAACAGAATCACTGAATTGGAAAAATGATTACCCCCCTTTGTGTCAGTATTTTGTTGAACCCCTTTTTGCTTTAATTCCAGCCTTTAGTCTGTTGGGACATGTCTCTACTAACTTTAGACTTTGCAATATTTGCCCACTCTTCTTTGCAGAACTGCTCATGTTCAGTTAAATTTGATAGAGACAATTTGTGGACTGCAGTCTTCAAGTCATTCCACAGGTTTCCAATGGGGTTTAAGTCTGGGCTCTCACTAGGCCATGCAAGGACATTCACCTTTTTTCGCCTTTAACCACTGTGTGCTCACTGTTACTGTGTGCTTTGGCTCATTGTCATGTTGGAAGGTAAAACCTTCTTCCCATTGACAACTTTTTGGCAGGGAGCAGCAGATCTTCCCAGAATTTGATGGTATTTTGCCCCAATCCATTCTTCCTTCTATCCTGACATGCGCTCCAGTCCCTGCTGTAGAGAAATCCCCCATAACAAGATATCCCCACTCCATGCTTTACTGTAGGAATGGTGTTATTTGAATGGTGAGCTGGATTGGATTTCCACCAAACATTTCATTTGGTGTTTGGACTAAAATTGAATGATTTGGCCTCATCTCACTATGACACCTTTTCCATGTGGCCTCAGAATCTTCAAGGTGCGTATGCTTTTAAACTCATTCTGGGAACAAAGCCTATATGCTGAGAAGCCCTAATCTTCATCAGGGCATGATTCTTGTCTAGCTGCTCCCCTTACTAGCTTAACCCCCCTGGCGGTATTCCTGAGTGTAGCTCGGGGGTAAAGTTTCAGCACCAAAAGCGGTAACCCCGAGCTACACTGGGAATACCTTGCAGCGTTGCTCCGGAATCTCTTCTACACTTACCTTGTCCTGCGCTCCCGCGATGTCCTCCCTGCAGTTTCCCCGGCCATCTCCTCCGGCCGATGCCGGCATCCATCTTCTGGGTTCCGTTCCCTGCGACGTCGGGACGTACGGGGGACAGAACTGGCGGGAAATTTAAAAATGTCAAAAAGTGACATTCACTAAATACACTAAAATCTCATAGTATTCCATTCCTGTATCAAACCATTTCACATACATTGTGTCCCGAGTGCTTTGTCCGGCGCCCTGCCTGCATTATTACTGTTCTTTCTGCCTGGAAACTGAGAAACGTCCATGGCGTCCAAAAAGCGTCCCTTTAGGTCAAAATCGGTTTTTAGACCGGCTAGAGAACAGCGATAGTAAATCAGAACCACTTGCAGAATTGAGTGATAATGATTCGTGGGGGAAATTCCTCATCAGACACTGAAAACGATTCTGCGACTTTGCTCAGCGATGTGCGAACTTGGCGCTCTATTTCACATTTCAGTGTTTTTGGTTTGATTATATTATTGAATTAAATTTATTATTATTAAATTATTCTTTTTTATGATTATTATTATATTATAATTTTATAATTTATGATTTCATGTTTCAAGTTTTATTATACCCGGGATGTTTACTAGACTCTTGTTCAGACAGATTTCAGTGAGTTATTCCTAAAAATTACAGGCCTACAATACAAAAACTGCATATTTCCATGCAAAAAAATGTATCGCTTTGAGCACATAATCAGACCGCTAGGGAGGGTAATCCCCAAAGATGTTGATCTTCTCCTCAGATCTGCTCAGTCTGTGACAATATATTGTATGAGATGTGTTTCCTGGCTCCAGCAATTCCATGTCTCTGAGCAGTAACGTTTCACCCATGAAGACTGAAAGCATCAATTAAGCTGGCTACACATAGGATGAAAATCAGCCTGTTCAGCAGGAAACCCGCCGGCATTTACGAGTGTGTACAGCTGTCTGTCCGAC